CTGTATGGTAATTGCATAACATTTATGGCTCCAGCTGTTTATGTGTAGTTGCAGTCAGAAGCTTACCTTAATCCTGCAAAGTGATAATAAATTATTTTGTTTATAGCACTTCACAAAATAAAATGTGTTACCACCAGACAAAGTGTAAATAAATACTGGAGACATAAATTAAAACCTGACAGTTCAGAGCAGTTTATTTGAATATGATTTTGCAGATGCAGCGTGGAGCATCTTAGAACAAAGACGAAACAGCATGTCCATTCACACACAAAGAAAGATGCATCCACATAGTGTCCTTATGAAGCAGCACTTTTTTTTTTCCTGCTGCCTTTTTTTCCCTTTAAATTGCAAGAACTAAAAATGGCACAAGCACAGAGCAGCCTGCTATTTATAGAATCCTGTAAAGGAACAAGATGGTTGCAGAGGAGCTGAAGTGTATGCACAGACTCTATAAATACAAGCACATCACATGAGAGGGGCAAATTTGCAGCTACACGTTTCCCGCCTTTCTCCTTCAGATTCAGTACCACTGAGGACAAACAGGCTGCTGCATCGTTAATGGATATTATTTATTGTTATCCCCCTGGTCTATTCCTGTGCAGCCGAACCCACTCCCCTCTCTGTTTTGGAATGTTTCTCAATGAATAATTGACTGGAGAGATATTTTTGACCAGCCCTGTCTTGGGTGCAGTATATAAATAGCTCATGTGCAGCAAAGCGTGCATGGATTTGTCAGGGGCGTTAGGCCTGGGAGTAGGAGCCTTGTTATGTAATAGGCATGTGAGTTGGCACACCACAGAGACACTGCATTGAATGGGTGTGTGTGCGTGTGTGTGATGCTCTGTACCCATTGAGTGTTTTCAGAGTGATAGTATACTCACTGGGAGCCCTTTGTTAAGTCTGCTGCAGCTGAGGCAGCTAATTTTATTATTGCATTAGCTAAACATGCACTTACGCCTTTATACATTTAAATAATGCACTTTATGTAATGCATTTGTTTATACACGTTAGCAGAGTGTGCTCATGTTGAGTATTGATTAAATTACCATTTTCATCTTGACAAACTAGCCGTATCCACATTCCTTTGAACTTGCAGTATCCGTATTTCACTGTTGTAGTTGATTATATTGGTACAGAAAATATTGATATTAATGTAGAGCTTTTATGTATTGTTTATACATTATAATAGTGGTGCACTCATTTGGAAATCTTATCTTTCTTAGTTGCATGCTCATTTTTTTAATAGTTCAATCTATTTTTGTGCACAACCCTGAGTCGATAAGATCAATGGCATCGTTGTGGTTTTTCGCAGCTCTGTATTTATGTGCCATATTTTATTTATGTGTCAATCTGCAAAAGTCATTCTGGGTTAAGGAACATGTGTGCAAAATGTTTTGAGGTTCTCATCTGTTCTGATGCAAAACTTTTGATGCCCATTTCCATGTTGGAATTTGTTATTGCAGCTCACAGTGTGTAGATATATTTGGCTCACCGCGGCTGAATATAGTAACACTGAATGGATGTTGCTGCAAGATATTACATAATAATAGTGAATTTCCTACATGAACATGAAAGGAGATGACTCCTTTAAAGACACAGAAACAGTGGATCGAGATTTCAACACGCAAGGAAGGAATGTCAGTTGATTTGAATGATGATATATATTGTTTTTCATTCATTTACATTTACATGTATGGTTGTATTTTCATCTGATGTTAGACAGTGACTGCTCACTTGCTGCAGGAGAATAATACTGGACTTGATTTGTAAAATATGATACATTTTTTGATATCCGAAGGGAATTACAGTTTATTCCATCAACAAATAAAAATAGAATACATCCAGAAAGAGAAAAACGTCGATTGGACATATGTATTACCTAAACTTAGAGCTAGCATTAGCATAATGTTAAGTAGGCAATAGTATTTTGGTATGTGTAAGTTCTTATACACTACATCTACACACCGGTAAAAGTTGTAAAAGTTTTCATGTACAGAATAAATTAACTTATTCAGTTCTGATCTGGGTCTTTGTGTTGGAGGTTAAGGATCTCAGAGTCCAAACCATGTAAATAGAATGGCAGCAAAAATCTATTTTCTCCACCATTTGCCCTTTATGTTTTGGCTTGAATTCATCTAAATACCGCACTAGTCCGCTAGACATCCGTGCATTATGTTTTGCTGGGCTGTACCCACAAGGGATTTTCTGGCCATTTCTTTCTAGTTCAGCGTAATAAAAATGCATTGGCCCTGTGGGGGCAATAGTTTTTGCTGCCATTAACACCAAAGTCTCTTCTTCTTGTGTCCCAGTCCACTTTTCCTGCAGTCTGACTCAGTTTTTTTCTCTAGCTAATGACTGTATGTTACTCTGTGTTTTACTCTGGTTAGCTGATGCATCACAGACATTCTCAGCCTAACGGTTGTCTCCATCTTAATCATAATCTGCACTCACTACTGCCTCGCTGACACTTTGGTACCATGGACAGCTCCACAGTAATGCCATCACTCTGTGTCCTCAACATACTGCTGTACCTCTGAAGTTACAGACTGAAGTTACAAAACCAACATAAAATGTCACATAAAAGACCACAAGCTTCCAGAACAGCTTCAGTGCATCTTGACTCTGAACTCTGGAGTTCATGAACACCAAAAACTTCCAAATGATTTCCTCTCATTTAGTGTTTTTTAATGCTGGTGGAGAGCACTGTCTATAAATCTCCCATAGGTGTCCATTTGAGTTGAGATCTGGTGACAGAGAAGTTGAGCTGTACCATATGGTTCACCATATTTCCATACTCATCAAAAACATACAGTTTCCTGCATTGTTATCCTGGAATAAACCAATCTTATATCTGTTAGCCCAGAAACTGTACTGTGCACCTGCTAATTGTGGATATTTTGATATTTTGCTTCTCTGTCTCTTCTCCCTTGTCTCAGAGAAGATTTCTGAGACTACACCTCTGGTTTTCCAATCAAAATCTTTGACTTCTTTTGTGTGCACTAATACTGAATTACCTTTGGACACTCACACACGGCATTAAACTTGTCTGTAAACCCTCCATAATCAATCGTGTGCAAGAGCTGCAAGGTAACCTACATCAGTAACTTTAGGTATTCATATGGAAGGCGTGGTATCATCTCTCTACGGCCTTCTCTTCATTGTGTCGTAGTGTGTCTCTCAGAGCACATCTTTCTGTCAGTCCTGTTTGTTGGTCTTAGCTCCTCATTCAGTGCCATAATCCTGGAGCTCTGAACAGCTGTGGGCGGATATCGTTCTTATAAACAGAAGACAGTAAGTGAATCTTGGACATAACTTATCTGCACTGTGAGCCACATCACCAAAAAATGGGCCTTACAGCAAAAGTTGGTTAAAGTCAGTATCTTTAATCACAGCCTTCCATGAATGACTTGTCACTTGCCTGACCCCAGAAAGGACAAACAGGAGAGGATGACTTGCTATTAAATAAGCAACCTGAAATTTTCTGAGTCTGTCCAGTGTGATTTTATTCCCCCAGGAAACATCCCTCAGCTTACATTGTATGTGTGTATTACACACCAGGATCACACTGGTGGGCATGATGTGTGTGATGTAGCCTTTTCTTTTGTGTTTTATTTTATGATTATTTTCAAAAATATGTGATCATTCATATTAGCATGTATCAATTGTTGATGAAAAACTAATAAAATGATAAAATATAAAAAATAAAACACATCTAAGCATAGAAAATGGTACAAAAGTTGAATCTCCTGTAAATGTAATGCCATGAAAATCCTACAGGTTGCAGCTAGAATGAGACAGTGCCTCATTCTTAAAGAAATACATTCATAAAGAAAAAAAAATCATAATCTGACGAGGAATATTTAACTCTATAGTTCTATTTTCTCTCCTGGGAAACCAGATCCAGCCCGCTTTTCCGCCTGGAAGCTGTCCTGTGTTTATGTTTTGCCTCTCGTACAGTAGTAGGCTACCCTGAGCAGAGAAACCCGCAGCGCCAGGCATGTTGAGTATGGGAGTTAAAAATAGCATCATCGGTCGGCCAAGCGCCGCTCCGTTACTACGCGTTTCAGCATTCTGCCCTGTGCAGGGGGAGTCTGCAGGACTGAGACCGCGGCAGCCTGTAATGAGCCTTCCACCTCTGTGTGTAGCTCTGCATTATCACACTGAGGGCCACTTTTGGGTCTGCTTCGGGGGTAAACCCAACCAGCAGTCATATTAAGCACCTTTACAGGCCTTATGATTTGACATAAGAGCCGATGTATGAGGACAGGCGCCTTTATGTGAGAGGTTTGGTGTTGGTTTGTCTCATGATGACCAATGGAGCTTGTAGTTTTTTTTTTTTGCATTTGTGTGTTGTAGGCTCCTCCTTTTGCTCCCAGTGACATGAAAGAGAGGTTTGACTAACAGCCAGCAAACAATGGCCTTTCCTAGTTTTGGAGGAGGTGGGGGCTGCGCCTTCTGTAGCCTATCCTCTGCTATTGTACGTTTTCAGCGGTTCTTTCATTGGACCCCTCGCTTGCTTTTTTGCCACAGTATTATAGGCAACGGGGGCTCCTGCTTCCACCTTCAAAGTGGGAGATTCTCCACCTGACGTCAATAGTGACTGACGCAGCCCCCAGGAGAAGCAGGTCTATTTTATTCCTCCATTTCTTCTGGGGTTAAATATAAAGCGGGCAGTGTAAAAAAGAATATGTGCCAATGAGCTCCAGAATTTTGCGTTTGTGTGAGCATTTTAGTTACAATTTTCTAATTTGGAGAGGGGGGGTTGTGCGCGCGTCCGCCAGTGTGCGCGCACGAAGCCACCGTGCTCTCAGCAGCGAATCATGAATTAATAAAAAGCCAAATCCTGCACACTTCCATGATTCCGTTCCAATCCGGGCGTGCAGTTTTCCACAGCATCATTATTAGGGAGATGCTACCGTGCACGCGCATTCATCGTGAGGGGAGGGGAGGGGAGGGGAGGGGAGAAAGCGAGAGCTCGCGCCGGTTCTCAAACGCTGCACGCTCGAAATTCCTCCAAGGAACCTCTGCGAGCTTTTCTTTTTTCATCACGCGCGAGCTAAAAATAGAAACGGGGTTGGATCGTGATCCAGAAATAGATAGGGGGCATCACTCCTATAAAAGGCACACCATTCAAGAGTACAGTGTGTGCACAGTTTGAAGAAGCGAAAAGCAAGAGCATATTTTATGGAGAAACGGGCTTTTTGTCCCTTTT